CTGCTGGGGCTCAGGCTGAGCCTGCTGCGGCTGCGGCTGCTGCTCGACGACGGGCTGCTGCGCGGCGGGTTGCTGTTGCTGTTGTTGAGCGGGCTGTGGCTGCTGCTGCTGCTGGACAGGCTGCGCCTGGGCTTGCTGGGTCGGCTGTTGGTAAGGCGTCGGTTGCGCTTGCGCCTGCGCCGGCTGCTGCTGTTGGGCAGGATATCCCTGAGGCTGCTGTTGCTGCTGCTGAGTCGGATACGGCGTCGGGCCCTGGGTGGTATACCCCTGCTGTTGCGCGGGCTGCGGCTGCTGCTGATACCCCTGCTGCCCAGGATACGCACTACCCCCTTGCTGCTGCTGAGCAGGATACGGCGTCGGCCCCTGCGGGCCATACACCCCATACGCCGCCTGTCCCTGTCCCTGTCCCTGGCCCTGCTGCGCTTGCGCCTGGGCATACGCATACGCCGCCGCATCCGGATACCCGCCCCACGCGCCCTGCTGCTGAGCTTGAGCGTACCCCGAGTGCCGCGCGAGGCTCTCCTCCATCATGCGGTCGAAGATCGTGCGCGCGCGCACGAAGGTCTCGTTCATCGAGACGAGGTCGGCTGAAAGCGATGCAGGTTAGCGATGAGATACGAAGAAAGAAAGAATAGGCTAAGAGAAGCAAGCGTACCCCGTTTCTGACTGTACTTGTCGATGAGCTTGACGATCTTAGGTCGAAGTGCCATGCATGAGCGGTAGAGCTCCTAAGTGCGACAGAGAATGTTAGCAGAAGAACGTGTAGACGGGGAGAATCAAGCAAGACAAGGTCACGATTTTCTCAAAGAGAGATATCACATCGACATTCTCCGAAAGCGCAGACATCATCTCTCAAGATCATCGAGCACCCATCAAACCGCCCAAACCTTCACCTCGAACCTTCCCGACTTGGCAGATCTTTCTTTCCTACACCTTACCTCCCTTCTACCTCACGCGAACCAGATCACAAATCTCCCTCCCCCCCAAAAAAAAACCACGAAAAAATCAAAAAAAAAACCCCACCTGAATCTCCTCATCCTCCGCCAAATTATCCCCCTTGCCCGGATCCAGCGCCCTCAACATATTCAGCAGCTTCTCCACGTTCACCGCCTGCGCGAAGACCGCAGCTTCTTGCGAGGCTTCCGCGGCGAGCTCGGCGGGGGTGGGTTCGGGGAGAGGTTCCTAAAAGTAGAGAAGATAAATTAGCGATGAGTGAATAATGGACGAAGAAGAGATAAAGGAAGGAGATGGATGAGGGAAGGAGAGGGAAGGGAGGAGAAGAGCGGGGGAAAGGGATGACGGAGGAGAGAGTGGGAGAAGGAAGGAAGCCACATACCACATAATTAACCGGAAAAATCCCCGTCCGCCCCCTCAGCTGCCCGCGCCACCAGTCTTTGTACCCGCGGTCGACGACCTGTAGCGTCGTTAGATGTTATTCAAAGAGCAATATATATATATATATATATATAAAGAGAGAGAGAGAGAGAGAAAAGGTATATATAGAAAGAAAATAGAAAAGCAGAGAAAAAAGACGCAAACCCACCTTAATAACATCCCCCCTCTCAAACCCCAGCTCCCCCGGCTCCGTCGGCGCGAAGGGGTGCAGCGCCCGCACGCGCGTCACGATTCCTGTGGCGGATGCGGCTGAGGTGGTTGGTGTTGGGTCGGCTGTGTGTACGGGACTCGGACTCCGCTCCCGCTGCGTCTCCCTCTGAGCGGGGACGTACCCGCCTGATGAACCTGTAGCGCAGTCAGTCAATATTATGATATTTATGATGATGAGGAGAGGAACGAAGCAAAACGTACCTGCATACCCCCCACCCCCACCCCCAGCAGCCGACGAAGACGACCCCGCCCCGTTATCCTCCGCCTCGAACCCATACGGCTGCCTTCCCCCACGATCCTTCACACTCATCTCCAACACCCGCTGCAGCTCCTCCTCCTCCCTCCGGCGAATCGCGTCATCCACCGCGGGGGGCGCGGGGTCGTCTGGCGGGGTGTAGCTGTAGTCTGCGCTCGGCGTCAGTCGCGCAAAAAAAAGAAAAGTTTTTGGCCATTTTTTTCAAAAAAGGGAAAGAAAGATGGAGGAAGAATAATTGTTTTGATAGAGAAAAGAGAGGAGGAAGGAGGACCCACTCTTTGCCTTCAACCCCTCATAACACTCCTGCATGATGCCCAAACTGGGGTCCTCCGCGAAGTCGGCCGTCCATTGGGCGACGAGGGCGAGAGCGCGGGTGCGTACGCGGGTGTGGGTGTTCTGTGTGAGAGAGTGAGACATGGGAAGAGAGAGGAAGAGGAGATGAGAGGGAGGTGAAGAAAGAGGGAGATTAGTTGTTATCGCGGTGTCTCGATATACAGAAACAAAAGCAGACCGAGAGACCACAGGATTGCACAACGCCAGGAAGCGAGCTCGATAGCATCGGAAAAGGCGCCGAGCCGACGTAGCAGCATTGAGAGAAACGAGAGACATGCGGTGCAGCGGCAGCTGCTGTCGCGCACACAGACGGAGGCCACCGCATCGTAGGCAAGGGGCGTCGGGGTGTAAGTCCGCAGCCAAATGAGTGAGACTGCAGCAGCACCGACACAGTCACGGCCTCAGAGGTGCGGCGTCAACGCAGCGTCGGCGTGGCGTCCGCAGCCATCCACCCTCTAATCCTCCCTCCACTCATCCTCCAATCCAATGTCCCCCATGGAGAAACACAATGAACAGCCGCACTCACCCTATCCACCACAACCCTCTCCACCCCACCCGTCCACGCCCGGCTCGCCAACTCCCGATGCACCTCCACCCCGCAGTTCTTCCCCAGCGCCTCCGCCACGCTCAGCGCATACAGCTGCACGTTCGGGTTCCGATGGCTCAGTCTCTTCAGCAGGGATGCGATGACGTCGTGCGCGGCTGCACCCGAATCGGAGGAGTCAGCGACCTTGTCGCAGAGGTTGAGGATGAGCTCCCAGTTTTCGGAGGTGAGGTGCTCGTCGGTGGTTTTGGCGACGATGTCGTCGTAGGCGTTTGGGGTGGCGCCGAACATCGTGGGTTCGTCAGGTATTTGTATTTCACTCGTTCAGTGGGTCTTGAAAGTAAGCCCGAAAGGTGTGGGCGACGACGACGACGAGGAAGTCCAAGATGGATGGAGTAGCCTGCGCAGAGCGGTGCGCGGAGTACGTCACGTCCCGTCACACCTCGTCACCGTCACTGTCACCCGCCATCTAATCCATCCTCATCCATCCATCCCATCCAGCCACATCGAGTCCATCGCAATGGCCAAGGGTGCGTATACTCCCTTATTCTCCTCGTATTCCGCATATCAACGAATGGCTCGACAGTCCCCCGCAACTTCCGCCTCCTCGAAGAGCTCGAAAAAGGCGAAAAAGGCATCGGCGACGGCTCCTGCTCCTACGGCCTCGAAGACTCCGACGACATCATGATGTCCAACTGGAACGGCACCATCATCGGGCCAGGCCATACCGTCCACGAAAACAGGATTTATAGCTTGAAGATTACGTGTGGGGATAGTTATCCGGAGAGGCCGCCGGTGGTGCAGGTGTGTTTTCTCTCCCTGTCCCTTTGTTGGATCGTTTTTGTTAGATAGCGACTAACGGGCTCATCGCAGTTCCTCTCCCGCGTAAACCTCCCCTTCGTCTCCCAATCCGACGGCTCCGTCGACCCATCCCGCCTCCCCGTCCTCGCGTCCTGGTCCCGCGCGAGCAGCCTCGAGACCGTTTTGGTCGAGATACGCAAGTGCGTTGTCTTTTCGCTTATTCCCGTTTGTCTTTTGTGCCCCTTCTTTGAGTTTCCTCCTCATTCCCGTCTGTCGTCTTCGGCTTTGATTTTGCAATCCCCTTCCTCTTCTGACCGCTTACATCCACACCCACACCCATCCTTCCTTCCTCCCCATCTTATCTTCTTTGACTGACTTGGAAATTTCCTTCCTTTTCCTCTTCGTCTTACTTGCATCCTTCTTACTTCTTGCTTACCTCCGCCCTTGTTTTCGCTTCCCTCTTCTTCTCAAATCCGCCTTTTCTCTTCGTCTTCGTCTCTACTCGAAACGCGAAACGCTGACCCCTCGCACTCACCAGAGAAATGGCAACCCCCACCAACCGCAAACTCCCCCAGCCGCCAGAGGGCAGCATGTTCTAAGTAGTCGTTAGTCTATTAGTTACCACGCCCACTACCCGGTAGCCTGCGTTATTATATAAGCAGCCCGTTTTGGAACTCACGTGCAGTTGACATCGGCTGATCTCAAAGCCTCGACACGCCGGTCAGACGTGTTTTTACGCGTTTCAACTGAGGAGAAGACATCATATACGAGTTTGAGAACAGACTTCGGGGAAAGCGGTATATTTGACCTCTCCAACCTCGAATTCAGTCGTTTTCCTGACCATTCAGCTGCTGCCGGCGCTTTCCGAGAAGCATCAATCAATGACAGCTGCCATCAACTTGCCGTCACCACGCAAACACCTGCAAGGCGATTCCTTCTATAAAATGTGCATGATTTGGGTAGAAAGAGGTCAGAATGTCCTTTTGAGAAAGTTTAGGACTGACACCCAACTGAAAGCCGCGTTGAAACGCGTCGAAATGAAGTACATAGGCGTGTTGTTTGCTCGTGTTGGGGAGCATCATGACGTCGTAAGGCAGGCTACCGGGTAATTGACCGCGGTAACCAACAGACTTTAATTCAGCGAACTTGTGAGCTAAGAAGAATTAAAGCGTCTGTCTAGAGAGACTAAGTAGTCGTCCGTCATCCCCGTATCTCTTCTACATCCGGGCTCTCTTTTTTCTATATCGAGGAGATCGAAGTGGCGTTGGGGCGTATTGGGCGGGTGGGCGGCGAATGAACGAATGTAACTGTGTGTAGTGTACCACCCAATCAATCCAACAACTAAAGCCAATGCTCCGACCCCCTTCTTCTCTGGTTCCCTTCTCCAGATCCAAGTCGCAAATAGGATTACCTTCCCCCTAGCTCCGAATCACAACCACAACACCCCGCTGAACAGCCACTGGTTGCGTAGTGTAGCGGTTATCACTCCAGATTCTGATGTCTGTGTTCATTTCCAGTTCTTCTGGCAACCCCGGTTCGATTCCGGGCGCGACCTTTTCAAGTTGCAAGCGGATTTGCTTTGACATTGCTTTTTCGTTTTGATTTTGGTTGAGATCGTACGTCGAGTCCACAGCTCGCTTTCCTGTAGTCTAATTCCACATCGTACTACGTTCAAATTATCTTGTCCCCTTCTTTTCTCTGGTCCTCCTGACGTCAATGCTGGGGACGATGGGTAACCAACATCGATATCATGAACATGGTAACCAACATGTTCCTGCTGGTAGGCAAGTAGGCTGAGGGGACTTCATTGCTTATTGTCTCTTCACGGTCGTCTTAAGATCTTCCCCACTACTCATTTCTGTACCCACCCACCCCCCTTCCTCGTTGTTTTTGTACCTCAGAAAGTATGTATTCAATCTGACAGCCATAGAGTACGATCATCAGTTAAATACATACCTAACTTACCTTTCGTCAAGGTTCGTGGGGCTCTCGGGAATAATCACGACCGCTAAAACTTAGTTCCAATTCAATTCTATGACGAGGAATTCAATGAAACTCTATGATTCAATCTATACTTACATAGAAGATGCTTGCAAAAAAGAGCAATAAATATTGAGACCCGTAGGTCTACCACTCCGGAAAAGCGTGTCATCCTTGTGCAGGGGCCATGCTAATCTTCTCTGTATCGTTCCAATTTTTCGTATGACGCCCCGAAGGGGTCGAGAAACGGATGAATTTTGGAGTAGGCACCACTGAGATGATGCACTTTGTGCGGCGGACCTGGAGTTACGTACCATAGCAGGCAGCCAGTCACTGTCGCGTGACGGTCACATCGCCTCTTGTCCCACACCATCAGCATGCGAATATTGACTTGGAATATTGTACGCTGTTATGAGCGGTCTAAGTCTGCATTCTCAACATTCCTATAGAATGGAATCCGCACAATACCACAGTACCATCCGTGAGCCTTGTCGCCGTATTTTCTTTGCGAATCTTCTTGAGAATTTCAGATGGAACACGATGAAAACCCACGACGATATCCTCAATCTTCTCAAAGCCGACATAATATGTTTCCAAGGTATTGTTACGCTTGATCTACGCGTCTTCCCTGACCTAAATCTCAGAAATGAAGTCTTCACGCGCAAATCTACCCAAAGCAGTCGGAATCCCACCGTCCTACCACTCATTCTTCTCATTTCCTATCAAAAAGTCGGGATATTCGGGCGTAGCGGTGTACTCCAAAATCGACGCTGCCGTTCCATGCAAAGCTGAGGAAGGATTGACCGGCCGTTTGCAGCCAAAGCCACCCTTGTCCAGTTCCGAACGCGTCTCAGTTCCCGAAGCGTATCCCGACGAGGTCTTGGCCGATGATGGCGCGAATTTCGACTTCGCTAGTCTCGACAGCGAAGGTCGTGCACTCGTCGTCGACTTCGGATTATTCGTTCTGGTGAACGTGTATTGCCCCAATGACGGAACGGAAACGGAGGAACGACTACAATACAAAATGGACTTTCACCGGATGCTTGAGGCCCGAGTGAAGGGGCTGATCGAGGTTGAGAAGCGTGAAGTCATCGTTGTGGGGGACTTGAACGCGTGTGCGGCTGTCATAGACCACGCAGAAGGCAATTTGATGGTAACGCGAGGACAGGCGGAGGGGATGCAGGGCGAGGACGGATTCTGGGAGCGCGATGTAAGGCGCTGGTTGCGGAGTTGGCTTGTTTCAGATGAGCCGGGGAATACTGGTCGTCTCGTTGATGTCGTGCGAAGGTTTTGGCCGGAGAGGAAGGGCATGTATACGTGTGCGTTGTCCTTTCTTTTATAACTGTCTCCGCATCTGACTATCAGCATTGATCAGGTTGGAATACTAAAATCTCTGCCCGCGAGTCTAACTACGGCACGCGCATCGACTACATCCTCGTCACGCCCGGCCTCCTTCCCTGGATCAAAGCCGCCGACATCCAGCCTGAGATCAAGGGGAGCGACCATTGCCCGGTATACATCGACCTGCACGAAGAGATCCCCCACCCCACTGGCGACGGCACGATCAAACTCCGGGATGTTCTGGGAGTTAAAGTTGGGACAGAGCCGCCTCGTATCGCCGCCAAGTTCTGGGACGAATATAAGCAGAGGCTATTGGATACGTTTTTCGGGAAGAAGGCAGAGCCTGGTTCCAAAGTATCTGTTTTACCTTCTCAGACGACCCCTTTACCGGACACTGCGCCTTCCAGCCCTTCAGCAGCGGTGGGATCAGCCGTGATTCTCCCCGCGGCCAGCACTTCGAGCTTGGTGCCAGCGGTTAATCAACTTGGCGACGATCAGCGGGTCTCCCAGAGCCAGCCGCTCCCTTCATTAACGTCGACAAGCGTTTCAAAGCGAAAACGAGAGCCATTAGAGCCGGTAGCCTCTTCGTCGAAGAAACCGAAGGCCGACAATCAAAAGCTCAAGAAAACAGGTCAAACGAGTCTCGCGTCCTTCTTCTCCAAGCCCAAGCCCCACCTCGATCCTTCTCCATCTTCGTCTTCACAAACGAAAACATCCAAATCCAAATCTAAATCCGAAGCCTCACCCCCACCTTCGTCTCCGTCCACATCACTACCCCTGGTAGGCAATTCCCTCGACGCAGATTATCAATTTGCGCTCTCCCTTTCCCAGTCGCAAACGTCGTCCCCCGCTTCTCCTTCACGCAGTAACGGCGAAAGCAAGAAAGTCTGGTCCTCCCTCCTCGCACCCCTCGAACCACCTGTATGTCAGGTGCATGGCGAGCCCGCGAAGGAGTTGACAGTGAATAAGCCGGGGCCGAATAAGGGCAAGAATTTCTTCATTTGTTCCAGGTGAGACTGGTCTTTTGGTTCAATTCTTATCTATCATAATGGACTTTACATTCCTGCATGACGACGCTGACTGCACGTTCGTTCCTAGACCGGTAGGACCAGGCTACGATCGAGGGAAAGCTGAGCGGCTGAGGGAAGAGGTGGATCCGACGTGGAGGTGCGATTTCTTTAAGTGGTCGAGCGAGGTGAGGTTGGAGATGGCTCGGAAGAGGGGTGGGTGAGGTGGGTGTGTTCGTGGTGCGCTATCTCCTACATCAAGGCTGATTCGTTGATATAGGGAATGGATTGGCGATAGGATATAGCGTGGCGGCGCTGTGTATCAAATGTATATGCGATTACCTCTCCCGGATGATTCGACGTCCAATTCAAAGGTTGCACGGTTGGCGCGGGTTCATATCACTGACGCAAATCATGTGGAATGAGGCTATTGGTCGGTTGGCGGACCGAGCTCGCAGGCTTCGCGGCAGTGTTGCGTCCTGGACCGACAAAATCAAGAAGAGTATATGAAAGTTTCAATTGAGCCATACATCCGCTGCGTTTTATTACGCCGAAATTTTTTCGTTCGCTGTTTGAGCCAAGCTAATGCTGAGTTTATCTGAACACTCTTTTAGATTTAAGACGGGAAACTCAAAACAGCAGCCGGCGATCCACCAGGAGACCTGAGAGGGCAGCCCGCCCGATTCGGCGGAGATACATCCATTTCAACTCCTACTGTGCAAGGGAAGAATTGGATTGAACCCGGCAGCCACCATCAATGCCGGATGAGGTTCATAGGGGGCAGTCGATCGGTCAGCGTCTCCGTCTCTCCATCACCTTGCTCAGTGCCTTCCGTTGTTCAATGCTGGATACGCTACCGGTGGAACTGGTGCTATGCATCCTTCGCGGATCGTCTCTCTCAGTCGTCTTGAACGTGTCAAGAGTGCGTCTACATTCTTCATATTTTCGTATGCTGATATGCCTTTTGCGCAGACTTGTTCCTACCTCCGCTGCATCTCGCTAGTCGAACGGCGACTCTGGATCGATGCCTCTGACGCGTATAGGATACGGCTCCCCTTACGCGAGACGCTCAAAACCATCAAATTATCTCTCATTCCCGGCTACGCCGCTCACTGCGTAGCAATCCAGAACAAAGTGCACCCTCTTCAGCATTGCAGCTCCGGCTTTCCCATTCCTAATCCCGTGTTCATCTCGCCGATACGAACCTACGAAGCGACGGGTTTGTACACCCTCCCCGCCTACGCGCCCTGGGGTCCAGCGAAATATTCACAATGTTCATTCGTTGGGCACATCCCGCCGACATTCCTCAGCGTGCTTCCTGGCGGTCATTCATTCCTCCTCGGCTCGCTGAGACATCTCGCCGTATACGACCTCGTCGGGACATACGGTATTGAATTGAATGTGGGCCCATCCTGCCAGCAGTACGAGCCTCGTCCGGGCGCCGAAGCTGTGTCCGCCGTGGATTGGGATAGCCGTGATAATGGTGTGCGTATCGGAGTAGCTGTTTTGTCGAAGGCGTTTGACGAGCAATGCGAAGTTAAGAGGTGCGCAATGATGATTAAATTCTTTTGTATCTGGGTATATTAGCTCACGGGATAAGGCAGCTACTTGAGCGTCTTCCAGATCAGCTACGATGCAAAGGGGGCTAGCGTTCGTCGAACACAGCTTGTTTCTGTTCCATTCCTGGCAGAGGCCGTTGGGATTCGCGGGCATCTCGTCGTGGTTTACAATCATTCCAATATTTTGCTGGTGGATCTGCGAACTAGGAGACGCGGATGGTGGCATGCCGAGGTATCTGCGCCTTTTTTCGATGTCTCGCAATATATAGTAACGACGTAAACCCACTTGTGTACAGACATGCGTGATCCAACGCGCCACTGTTGACGTTGGCACTCGTCTGCCCACCGCCTTTCTTGCGGTTCGGAGCCAGGATCAGTCGACGCTCTTGTTGTCCCTCGATGTTACAGCGGCTATGTTGGAATTTTCGAACTCCGAATCTGGCAGCGGGATTGCGAGCAGCCCACTGAAACCTGACGCCGTCTGCTCGTTTCCTAAACGCGTTTATATCTCTGGGAATGCGGATAGATATCTCAGCTGCAACTGCACGACGCACGAGTTTCGCGATGCCATCACCACATCTCATAACGACGGGATAAACGGTACAAAGTTCTTAAACCCGTCTGACTCTCAGCAACGAATTCAAGCCCGGTCGTCCTATCATACAATG